GGGGCACCCCGCGCTCCGCTGGCTGGGGAAGCATTGCTTCTGGGAGTCCCGGGGAGGAGGCCTCGGGCCCACGGGGCTGCAGTGTGGTGAGAAGTGGGCACCCTGCCGCGTTCTCCTCTCCGGAACTGCTCCCAACAGCTCCCGCTGCCCATCTGCTCCCAGTCGCACTGCAAAAAAAAAAAAAAAAAAAAATCACCGGAAGGAGTGGGATAGAGAGAGCGATTCAGACAGGGGCCGCAGGGAAGAGGACAGAGACTTTTGGGAAAAGGGACCTCCTTCCACCCTTCTTCCTGGCACAGAGGAGAGAACTGCGGTTCTGGGAGCCTGCCGTGGGGCAGGTCGAGTCCGGCCTCTGTGCCCCTGAGCTCCTCTCGTGCCTGGTCTCGGTCCTCTCTGCAGACCTGTGCTCAGCACCAACGGAGGGGACCCTTCTCCCTAAGGGCTTAGCCTCTGGAGTGCAGAGAGCCTGGCCAGCAAATAATCATGGCCAAGGGATAGAATGTTCTAGATGGAGGGTGAGCTTCATGCAGGAAGATGGGGGCTCACTGCCATTTGGTCCATTTTGAGAAGAACTGTCTCGTGGGGGTTCCCAAGCCTGTCTGTGCGTCTTTACTGGAGCAGAAAGTTTCTTCTTGCTCTCGCAGAGCAGCTGGTGGGTTCAAACCGCCGACCTTGTGCTTAGTAACCCCATGCCTAACCCAAGACCCTGCCCAGGCGTTCACACAGGAGGGGACTTCGCCGAGGAGTGGGTGTTTCTCGGGGTTTTCAATGGAGTGGGGGTCCCTGGGGAGGTGAGCCGGCCTGAGCCCCGGTGACAGGGCTCATTCAGAAGGCTGGGGGCAGGGCCTCCCACTCATATGCTTCTCTCCGGTGTCAGGAAACGGCGTTCTGTCTGATACGTGGTTCTCGGACTTCAAACGGACTTTGTGTTCTCTTTCTCTGTGGAGACGGCACCTATTCTGTGATGCCTCCAGCGGATTCCGACTCCCATCGACCCCGTAGGACAGAGGAGCGCTACCCATCAGGTTTCTGAGACTGAGAATCATTATGGGAACTGACAGCCTCAATCTTTCGCCTTGGGAACAACTGGTGTATTTGAACCGATGACTTTTTGGTTAGCAGCTCAGAGCTTAAGCCACGGTGCTACCATGACTTCTTGTGTTGCCTGTTACACGCACGCACAGCAATCTGAATTTCTGACACCGACATGGCCTTGGCCCCATCCAACTGGGGGTTTCTGCAGCAGCCCCCAGTGACTTCCTGCTGGTACATCTCCCGCAGGCCCTCCGGGTTAGCCAGCCAGTCCTCACTCGTTCCTCGTCCCTCGCGCCCAGCCCAGCTCCAGAGGTGCTGGTGCCAAAGCCAACTTGAGGGGCTAAGTGTCTATCATGTACACTTGGAGAGAAGGTGACTTTCACTTTATGTGGGTTCAGTCAATGTCCCTGAAGGCAGCAGTCAAGAAAGCAAGCAGCATTTTGCACCGGACATATCTGCAAGAGATCTCTTTAAAATGTGACGAAAGCCAGGGGGTGGGTGAAAGTGTGTGTCTGAGCCGAGCCATGGGGTTTTCAATCACCGCCTGTGCATGTGGGCGCTGACCACTGAAGACGGGGGACCGAAGAAGAACGGTGGCTTTTGCATTTTCTGAATGCTCCTTGGACCGTCAGAAGGACAAGCAATTCTATCTTCAAAGAAGTACAGCCAGAATGCTCCTTCACAGCGAGGATGGCTCGACTCTGGTCTCACGTGCTTTGGACGTGTCCTCAGGGGTTCCAGTCCCTGGAGAAGGACATCGTGTCTGGTAAAGTAGAGAGGGTCAGTACAAAGGAGGAAGACCTTCAAAGGAAGGGATTGGCACAGTGGTTGCAACAGCGGGCAGAAGTAGAAAGATGGTGTGCGGATGGCACAGGACCAGGCAGTGTTGTGGTGTTGTGTTGTGCGTAGCGTCTCTGTGAATTGAAAACAACCTGATGGTATGTCGCAATGAGGACTTCGTTAAGTCTTTCCGGAGGGGCCTGATTTAACTCCGAATAGTAACCAGGATCTCGAATTCCTGACCACCCCTCCTTGTCACCTCTGCAGGTCCCTGGCTGAGAGGACAGTCTCCCTCTTCACACTCCCACCCACCCCAGGGCAGCCCCAAAGAATCTCTCTCCTCACCGCGTTCGTCTCCTCCTCTGCAGAGACATCTGCAGACATCTCACGTAGCCGAGCTTGGCGCTTAGTGAGTGGAAGTGAGGGTGTCAGGGTGTGAGTCAGCATGGGAGAGTTCGCTGGGGGTGGGATCTGTCAGGCCAAATCCATCTCACTCCAACCCACTGCCCCACCCTCCCACGATCAAGTCCACAAAGTCAGAGTTGTAAGGAAGCAGGATTCGGGGATGGGTGAAGGCAAGGAGACTCACCTCGACTCCCATTCATTCATTCATTCATTCATTCATGATTCTCCGCTGCCTACAAAGAGCTGGCCACGTGACCGTCTGTGAGGCTCCGGCACGTTGGGTGTGGGGTGTCCCCTTCTCCGTGGCAAGTGAGACAGCTCCCTTGTGGGGCATATGCTCCACTTCTGTCCTTGGAACATGCTGGCAGCTGGTCAGCTCAGCTGTGCAGATGGCACCAGGATTGGGGGCTCGCTCTGACACCCTCCTGGCTGTGCCTCCCCCCACAGCCTGGGCTGGCTCTCTGGAGATGCATGTAGGCCTGACTGTGGGGGAGGCGGATGCACCTGGCGCTGGGAGGGAGGGAGCTTGCCAATGCCTGCCTTTTCTGGAAGCCCACGCGGGCAGATAGCTCTTGGCTGGCCTGCAGGGACAGATTTGCTGGGTGAGGGAGCACCCTTGTGCCCCTCCCATGGGGTCTGCGGTATGAAGAAAGAGCAAGACTGGGCTTGTGTGTCCTCTGGGTGGGACAAGAAGGGCATAGTCAGCCTGTCATTGCAGCCTCCAGGCATGCCATCTGGATTTAGACACAACCAGTTCCACCTCCACAGGTCCCCGGTTCAAGCCTACGTGGTTCTGAAGACCCCATGGGCATAGCCAGTATGCTGGGCTAATCCCACACTGTATATGTTTTGGGTCAAAGCTCAAATTAGTTTGGCTTTTCTGAGTTCACCCTGACCTTGAGTAGAGAGTGACAGTTACCTGCTAAGTAGCGTTGTCACATACAGGTGTGCAGGCTCTGCACGGCACAAGGGCGACTGTGTGAAGAGAGACCTTTCATACCATAGACAGTGTGGATTTGTGGATTTCTGACAATGATCCAACAGAGGGAGGGAAGGTGTCTTGATAAAAAACAAACCAAACTCCCTGCCATCAAGTTGCTGCCCACTCAGAGTGCCCGGTAGGACAGGGTAGAACTGCCCCTGTGGGTTTCCGAGACGGAAACTCTTGATGGGAGTAGAAAGCCTCCCTTTTCTCCCAAGGAGCAGCTAGTGGTTTCGAACTGGGGAACTAGCAGATCACAGCTCAACGCCTAATCACTTCGCCACCAGGCCTTTAGAAAGGGATCTCCCCCCACACCCTTATTTGCACAAAGGCAACGTGTGGGCTAATGGTGTCATTGTTGTTGTTGTTGTTGTTAGTAGTAGTCACTGACCTGATTCCAGTCATGGGGACCCCATGTGTACTCTAGAGGGGTTTCAAGATCACAACCTTTTGGAAGCAGCTCACAAGACCTACCTTCTGAGGACTTTTGGGGAGGCTTTGAACTGTGAACCTCTCATCTTGTAGTTGTCCATTAACCATTTGTGCCTCCCTGCTGAGAGGCCAGGGGGCACAATTCTAGAGAAAATGCTAGCTATCACGCCAAGAGGGCAAATCACAGGTCAATCTAGAGCTGACTTGGGCAGCAATTCATCGCCAGACCTTGTTGCGCTCAGACTTTCTCAAGAAGGGAGAGAAACTCTCTGTGAGTCCCTCCGCAGAATGACTTTCCTCTCTCTCCCCATCTCTGCCCCTTGTTCCATCTCAGTCAGGCCACGAGCGGAAGACACAACATTTACAACTGCAGAATTGGTGGCCGCCTCCATGAAGGAGGTGCCAGGGCAACGGGGCTGGCACTCTGGGTATCCATTATAATGGTCAGTTTCACACATTGGGCATAGAAGTCTGGAAAAAGGTCCTGCTACATAAAC